CATAACTTCCAGCGGTATTCTTAAGCCATTCTCAAGGTTGCCAAGTCTTGGGCAACTTCGTGCGTGATATTCTCTCTAAATTATCTGGACCATATTATAGATAGGTGGATGAATGGATGGACGGACAGACAGACAGATAGACAGACAGGGGGGGGGGGAACAATGCCAAGCCACTTTCGTAAGGCTGCCAAGGAAATGGCATAGAACCCATTATTAAAATTCAAGATGGACCTGAGATTATATTTACATTTAAGATAATGACATAGTGGAGAATATAATGTGATTTGTTCATTTGATTTCTTTTCTTCCTTTTTTTACTGAATGCAGGGTGGATAAAAATCAATGATTTTTTTAAAAAAATCAAAAAAATCAGATTTTTTTTATTTAAATCAGATTTTTTTAATTTAAATCAGATTTTTTTTTATTTTTATCGAATTTATTTTAATAAAAAATTTTTGGGGTAAAAATCTATCGTAAGATAGTTTTCTATTTAAGATACATAAATAATTTAGTTTATTCAGCATGAAATGGAGCTTAGTTATGTAGCATGAGGCTGTATATTCTGCAACACTGGGACTATCGGTGAGTCAACAGTGGGTCAAAGGAGTAGCAGAGATGACAGTTGCTCTTTAAAAATTATGATTTAAATCGAGTTGATTTAAATCAAGCCTTTTTACTAGTGATCATGATTTAAATTGTAATTTAAATCAACTCGATTTAAATCAAATCCACCCTGACTGAATGTGAATCTGCAAGCCAGATTCTTGAGGAATCTGGCTTGCATCTTTCCAAATCGAAGTCAACCCAACCATATTATAGCTTAACATGGAAACCCAACATAGTGGTACCACTTTGCTGTATTTATCTCTTTTATGAACCTCTCCAAGGCAGGTGAGATGACTCCTATGCCATTCATTACCTTTCCTTGCTCTGTCTTTTATATATGCTGCCCCATAACAGTACACGAATGAGTGACTCAACCTGCCCTTTGCTATTATCTCACAGATTTCTGGTTGCAGAACTTGATTTACATGCCAGTTGTTGAACAGGATTGCAAGAGTGGCACAAATTGTAGGGAGTTTTGGGGAAGGAAACATCCTTGTGGGTTGAACTGGTAAACAGTTCATTAAAAAAAAAAAAATCAGCTGAGGTTGCCTACTGAAGAAGAGTTTTGTTCCCGCACTCGTCATAAGGGGGAAAAAAAAGAAAAGAAAACCAACCTCCCAGCTAGAAAAAATTCAGAAAAAAACCTACATACAATTTAAAATAAGAAACCAACTAGTATCATTATGGGAGTCAACATTTGGGCTTGTCTGTGTCTGTGATTAAAAAACAAATTTAGAACTTCTCCAGGGAAGCCGGCTGATTATTGTGTGTGTACACGGTACAATTTTAATTGCTGTCAAAGATGAGAGGCACCAGATGCTGACGAAGCGTGTTTTCAGTACTGTCATGTTGAGAAGGGATGATTTTTATTGCAATTCAAGGCCTTCTTGGAAAGGCCACTTTGGCTTTGAACTACGTGGAAAATTCATATTGCGGAGAAAGGAGAACCCGGTCATGCTTTTAAAAATGACAAGCCTTCTGCGTTTGTGAGTACAGCTAGTCCTCGGCTTAATAACAGTTCATTTAGTGACCGTTCAAAGCTACAACAGCACTGAAAAAAAGTGACTTAGGGCCATTTCTCACACTTACGACCTAATGCAGCATCCCCGCAGTCACGCGATTTATATACAAATGGTTGACCACTGGTTCATATTTATGATGGTCGCAGCCTCCCCGGGGGGGGTGTCACATGATCCCCTTTTGCGACCTTCTGACCAGCAAAGTCAACGCAGAAGGCAGATTCGCTTAACAACGGTGTTAACTAACTTAACATCTGCAACGATTCACTTAACAAAAGTGGCAAATAAAGTCATAAAACGGGGCAACACTCACTTAACAAATTTCTCCCTTTGTAACATCAATTTTGGGCTCAGTTGTCGTAAATTGAGGACTACCTGTATTTAAAATTTCTCTTGTCTTTCCCCTCTGTTTCAGTGTTATGTTCTTTTAAGGATCGAACCTTCCTGAGTCATAGAGGAAAATGTACGCCTTTAAATAGGAGGTTTACTTGTCCTCCTGTACAGGTAGTCCTCGACTTAACAACCATTCATTTAGCGACTGTTCGAAGTTACGACGACACTGAAAGAAATGACTTATGACTGTTTTTCACACATACGACCATTGCATTGCATTGTCACATGATCAAAATTCAGACGCTTGGCAACTGACTTGTATTTATGACCATTGCAGCCTGCCCAGGTGTCACGTGATTCCCTTTTGCGCCCTTCCGACAAGCAAAGTCAATCTGGAGGAGCCAGATTCACTTAACAACCATGTAACTAACTTAACAAATGCAACGATTCACTTTACAACCGGGCCAAAAAAAAAAAGGTTTTAAAATGGAGCAAAACTCAACTGTCTTGCTGAGCAGCAGAAATTTTGAACTTGATTGTAGTCATAAGCCGAGGACTAGCTGTATAGTATTTAGAAAGCATGTTTGAATAAAAGGATAATGATGAAACAATCTAGGCCAGGGGTGTCAAACTTGATTTCATTGAGGGCCGCATCATGGTTGTGTTTGACCTTGGGGGGCCGGGGTGGGTGTGACCAGGGTGGGCATGGCCAGCTCGATGTCACTCATGTCGGGGGTGCCTGTGATGGCCCAAGAGGTCTGCCAGGGAAAACGGGCTCCTGAGCCTGTTTTCGGCTATGACGGCCTCCTGCAACCCTCTGCCAGCAAAAACGGAGCTCGGGAGGGCCACCCACGGCCCTCTTGAGGTCCATTTTTGGTTGCAACAGCCTCCTGCAACCATCTGCCAGCAAAAACAGAGCCCTCCTAAGCTCCGTTTTCGCTGGCAGAGGCACCGCGGGCCGGTCCTTCGCTGTTTCCAAGCAAGCCCCATGGGTCAAATCTAAGCACCCCGCGGCCGGATCTGAACCCTGGGCCTTGAGTTTGACACCCCTGGTCTAGTCTGTACAGTGCTTAGGATTCGGTTCGAACTGAGGAGTGAAATGAGCACATATTTGTAACTCCTTAAGGCAACCTGACGTTAAGGGATCCCACTGAAAGATACGGGTGCTTTAAAGAGTGGAGGCAAGCGATTTGCCTTTCTCATGTTTCAATTAAATTAACATGAATGAAGTCAGGTAGGCAGGGAGTCTGACAGGGATCAAGGGGTATTTTTTGTGTTAGGCTGTGACCCAGAGTTCTCTGGAGCAGGGGTCTCCAACCTTGGCAACTTTACGACTTGTGGACTTCAACTCCCAGAATTCCTGTGTTGGCAGTTGAAGTCCACAAGTCGTAAAGTTACCAAGGTTGGAGACCCCTGCTCTGGAGCAAAAGGGGAGGGAGGGGGGATTGAATAGCATAGATCAGCATGCTTGCTTGATCCCAGGAAACTAGGATTCCAAGAAATCTGCTCACTAGCCTATTAACAGCCTGGATAAAACCAAGACATTGAACACTCTCGCATGTCTTGTAGGGTTATTAATATAGTTAAAAAGCCCTGTGCCTTTCCTACAGAAGGGCTTTGGGGCACTTAATAATTTACCTGAAGTAGATATACAGAAAAGAGGAACATAAATTAAAGAAATACACTACTATTTAAAAAAAAAAACACTGGAAAAATTCACAAAACTTTCTTCCCCCTCTCTTTCTCCTTTGATCCTTCCACCTCTCCCTTTTTTTGAAATCTACTATGGACTTTCTCCAAGTACGGAGGGCCACTAATGACCTTTGATGTCTTCGTGGATGCTTGATTAGCAATATCGCCGCCCTTATTAACGTGTTGCACATTGTTCAGATATTTTTTTTCCTCCTTTTCTGGCAGCATCTGTTGCCCCGCCATTCTTTTGGAGAATTTCTAATTGAAGTTTTAATTGAATTTTCTGGGAGTCAAGTTGGTGAATTACAACCCTTCAGCAAACTATGAAGACGTCTGGAGGAGAATAATTCCTTGGTGTGTCTCTGTTTTCTTGTTTATCATTCTTTTGGTTGCAGATCGATTGAGGCATATAAATCTTAGTGGTTGCTGCTTTGTTTTGGTGTAATGGGGGGGACGCTGATTCGGCAATCTAGTGATGTTAAATGGGCATTGCTTAGAACAGGGCTCTCCGAACTTGGGAACTTTGAAGACTCGTGGACTTCAACTCCCAGAATTCCTCAGCCAGCCTGGCTTGACAATTTTGTGCTGAAGTCAGTCCCAAAGCTACATTTGAAAATGATTATCTAGGTTGGCTTTTTTAAGTAGAAATGATTAGGAAGTTTAGGGGGGAGGAACAGATTCGTGATTTTATATAGAAAAGTGAGATTTTAGAAATTCTAGGTGTATTTAAATATGAAGGGACACGGTGGCTCTGGCTAAGACGCTGAGCTTGTCGATCGAAAGATTGGCAGTTCAGCGGTTCGAATCCCTAGTGCCGTGTAAACGGGGTGAGCTCCCATTACTTGTCCCAGCTTCTACCAACCTAGCAGTTTGAAAGCATGTTAAAAAATGCGAGTAGAAAAATAGGGACCAACTTTGGTGGGAAGGTAACAGCATTCCGTGCGCCTTTGGCGTTGAGTCATGCCAGCCACATGACCACGGAGACGTCTTCGGACAGTGCTGGCTCTTCGGCTTTGAAACGGAGATGAGCACCGCCCCCTAGAGTCAGGAACAATTAGCACATATGTGCGAGGGAACCTTTACCTTTATTTAAATATGTCTTAATTGACTACCCCAGCGGTCCCCAACCTTTTGGGCACCGGGGACCGGTTCCGTGGAGAGAGGTTTTTTCGTGGGCGTGGTTTTGTGTGCTGCCTGCATCCCCTGGATGGAGCTTCACTTGTTTGTGTGGCCCGGTTGCTGGCATGCTGCAGCCCAGTGTCGGTCCGTGGACCAGGAGTTGGGAACCCCTGGACTACCCTATGCGTGTTCTTGTTATAATATTTTTCTCTCATTACTCTTTCCTGGTAGGAAGAGAAAATGGAAGGCAACAGCTCCCTTCGCATTCAACGTTGGTCTACGAGACACGTGGCCAAGTGGCTGAAGCAAGAAGGCTTTTGTGAGTATGTGGAGATTTTGTGTGATAGACACCGGCTGGATGGCATCACGCTTTTGACTCTGACAGAATATGACTTGCGGTCCCCTCCCTTGGAGATCAAGGTTTTGGGGGACATCAAGCGCCTGATGCTGTCCATACGGAAACTGCAGAAGCATCACGTGGAGATTTTGGAGGAGCTGGGCTACAGCAGCGAGACCCCCATCGGGTCCCTGTCCCCCGTGATTGGCTGCGTCCAAGGAAGGGAATGGTTTTGCAATGGCGAAGTGCAGCGGGACTGCGATGACTGTGAACCTGTGTCTGAGCTGAGCGCTGAGCAGTATCAGTACACCAACGGGAAAGGCAAGCATTCTCCGAGGACACTGAACCCCGAATATTGGAAGACGGCCTTGAGCTGCATATATGTCTTCATTGTGTTTGGCTTCACCTCCTTCGTCATGGTCATCGTGCATGAGCGAGTACCCGATATGCAGACCTACCCACCGCTACCGGACATATTCCTGGACAGGTAAGGACGCTGCTAACGGTTAAAGGAGCCCTTTTTGAGTAGAATTGAATGGTGGCATTATTTGTCGACAATGCTGATTTGTCCTCTTTTTTCCAGGAAGCTGATTGTATGCACAGACTTTTCTGTAAGGGTAGAAACTACAGGGAATGAGTTATTTGTGTTCTCTTAAATGCAGGGTCTTGCAATTGAGAAGCCCATCTGGGAAGTTCTAGGTCAATGATGGCTAACCTTTTTGCCATTGCGTGCCGGGAGCGTGGGGGGGTGTCACATGCGTGTATGCCCACACCCATAATTTTATGCAGCCTGCCCATGCGCATGTGCACGCAAACCCCATCACCACCACCACTCTCCCTATTCCTGGCATGTGATGACCCGGTAGGCCCATTTTTCTCTCTCCCCAGGCTCCAGAGCCTTTCTAGTCCCACCGGAAGTTGGCAGATGGCCATTTCCGAACTCCGGAGGGCCTCCGGGGGTGGGGGGGAAGGCCCTTTTCGCCCTCCCCAGACTTCTAGAAAGGCTCTGGAGCCTGGATAAAGAGAAAAATGGGCCTTCCCCACCAACCCCCAAGACCCTCTGGAGGCAGGAAACAACCTGTTTCCCTACTTCTGGTGGGCCCAGAAGGCCTGAAAATCAGCTGGCGCATGCCGGAGCTGAGCTCACATGCCCACTGATATGGCTATCGGTGCCACCTGTGGCACGCGTGCCATAGGTTCATCATCACGGTTCTAGGTCCATGAGTCTAGATGAAAAAGTTGCTAAATCCATTTATTTATGCATGCATGCATGCAAATGAAGCTATTCTTTTTGGAGTACAGCTTTTCTTTTCTTTTTTTTTTTGAGTATAGCATCAGGAATTCTGGGAACAGAAGTCCACACATCTTAAACTAAAATGATCAAGGGCCTGGAGACTAAAACATATGAACAACAGTTGCAGGATTTGGGTTTGGCTAGTCTAGAGAAAAGAAGGATTAGGAAGGACATGAGAGCAGTATTGCAGTATTTGAGGGGCTGCCACAAAGAAGAGAGGGGTCAACTTATTTTCCAAAGCACCAGAAGGCAGGACAAGAAACAATCAGTGGAAACTAATCAAGGAGAGAAGCAACCAGGAATTAAGGAGAAATTTTCTAACAGTGAGGATAATTAACCAGTGGAACAGCTTGCCTTCAGAAATTGTGGGTGCTCCATCACTGGAGGCTTTTAAGAAAAGACTGGACAGCCACCTGCCTGAAATGGAACAGGGTCTCCTGCTTGAGCAGGGGTTGGACTAGAAGACCTCCAGGGTCCCTTCCAGCTCCATTCTAATTGATTGATTTTAAGTTGTCAAGATTGAGAAACAACTGGCTTAGCCCCGTCACATCATAATACGTGGAATTGGTTATGTAATTTCTGTAACGATTTGTATCATATCTTGGTTGTGGGATCCTTGATGCTCCCTGAGCTGGGTTGTTGTCCTGCAGCCATTTCATTACCCACCTAGGTAACATCATCAGTGCTAGGATGTCTTGATTACTGTTGACATTGAATCAGAAACCTGACTGTTGGATGCTATCTGCTGAAGTCAGTTTGGGACTGACTTCAGCGCAAAATTGTCAAGATATCAATTGACTGCATATTGGAGGCAAAGGGTCTCCAAATCTGGCAACTTTAAGGCTTGTGGCAACTTTAAGGCTGTCTATGACCCAGGTCTCTCCGACAGTGAGATGGGCAGCATATACATTTAATAAATAGATTCTAGTGGTGTGAACTGGATTTGTGTGAAGTATGGATTCTGGGGAAATTCAAACTAGATTTTAATTTGCCTGGAGCGAGGCAGATAAATCTAAATCACATTTGTTCCAATTCTGAGCCCTTCAGTTAAATTCCATCCCCAAACCAAATAAAAATTTGTTGCTGATATCCAATACCTTGGCTGGATGGGGGGGAGAGAGCAACCAACTGGTTTTGATGTCTTCTTGACCTGCTCTCTGGTCAGAAAATCCTGTGCAATCAGATCATTCATGGACAAATGGCCTGATTGTGAGAACCAATCCAGTCTGAGACAGACCAGTTATTTACTGAACAAACTACAGTACCTCCAAGTTCGATGTTACATCATCTGAGCTCTTTGGTGAGGCTGCCCCAGTGATGCCATGGTAAAGAATTTCCAAGCCTGGTGGAGAATTTTAAAATTGGGTGAGAATTCACCCACCCTGAATTCACACCATAAATCCTGCAAATCTGTTGAATAATCCTAAATACTATACAAAATATTGTACTTACCGTATTTTTCGGACTATAAGACACACTTTTTTCTCTCCCAAAAGGGGGCGAAAATGTCTGTGCGTATTATAGACCAAATATTGCCGAAGCCCCGCCCACCCACCAGCTATTTTTTGGCTTCCGCACGCCCTGTTTTCGGGCCTTTTTTCAGCCTTTTTCAGGCCTTCTTTTGGCCCATTTTTGAGACTTTTTGGGCCTGTTTTCAGGGCTTTTTTCAGCTTGTTTTGGGGGCTTTTTTCAGCCCATTTTTGAGGATTTTTAAGCCCGTTTTTCTGAAAAAAGCCTCAAAAATCGCCCCAAAAGTCTCAAAAATGGCCCCCCAAAGGCCTCAAAAATGCCCCCAAAAAGCCGAAAAAATTGGCCGAAAAAAGCCCCGGAAACAGGCCAAATAAAGACTGGAAAAGGGCCAAAAAAAGGCCCGAAAAAGGGAGGTCAAAAACTTTTTTGTTGTTGTTTTCCTCTTCTAAATTTAGGTGCGTCTTATAGCCCGAAAAATACGGTATTTGTATTTAACGTTGAAACCACCCATCTTCCTCACAGTATGGTATAAGCCATGCTATCATCAATCACCAGTGGCAGTAGAATTGTAATGCCCTCAATAAAATTGAGGCTGCATCTTAATATTTAATGCATCCCGGGGAAGCTGAAATAAACCCCAAATTTATCAAATCTATTCCGCCACAAAACAATTCAATCAGAGTTCAGTTTATTTTTTAAAACATGAATAGTCATGAAAATAACGATTATAAAGCTTGGTTGATGCCTGTCTAACCTACTCATCATCATTGCATTCATGTTATTTTTTTTTAAAACAAAAATATAATTTTCCGATTTGGTTTCATCTGAGAACCAATCATTCTATAGCTCGGTGAACAAAAGGGCCGTTTCTTAAGTGTGTCCTTGTTGCAAATGATCAGGGCAACTCGGGGGCAGGAGTTGGCGCTGGCCAGATCCTTTTCCCTGCCATTCTCTGCCATTTTATTCAATGTCACTGGACACTGGGTTCATTCATGCAGAAGCCATAACCGAGTCACTTGTCAGTCTGAGCTAAAAGCAAACAAAGAATTTGCATTGTGCCTGAATGTTATCTATGACCCAGGTCGTTGAATTTAGGCATTGTTTTAATTTTTGCTTTGCATTTAAGAATAAGAGAAAGATGACTTCTTGAATGCCAGATGTTATTCTAGGTTAAATGTATGACCTACTGCGAGACCCTAACCAGCAAACAAGGCAGGAAATTACAGCAACTGGCCGTCGGATTGCCCCAACTCTTATGCCCTTTAGTAACCGAAAGACATGTGATTGATTGTTTGTTTGAATTGCTTCTCATCGGCTAAGGCTACAGTGTCCGCCCCATGAGTGGTTGCCAGAGAATGATTGCAAAAGACATAGAAGGCAAAGCTGAATATCTGTTGACCACAAAAGAATCTGTGGTCATGATAATGCTTGAATAGGTGAGATCAGATAATTATCTTGGTTTAAGCCTTAAGATCAAAAGGATTTATTCAGTTCTCTAATGTATTTGTTCTTGGGAAGAGTCAACTTTTCTAGAAGACTAAATGCCTTGGGGTTCCCCCCGCCCCCTTCATAGAAACCTATTTAAGAAATGAATATTTTGGAATGCTTATAGCTGCCCAAGTAACAAATGTTTTATACAATCGTTTGTATAAATGTTTTATACAATCGTTTATACAAAAAATCGTTTTATACAATTTTATTAAAAGTTTTTAAAAGGAAGATAAACGCCAATACAAACCAATGTAAAGTAAAAAAAAGAAGAAGAAAGGAATAAAAAAGAAAGCTAAGAGTACAAGAAAGGAAACAAAGTAAAAGAAGAATAGAAAAGAAAGAAAGAAGATATAAAAAAAACTTCCCAGCTTCTTTACAGGAGTTATAAATACAATTATAAATTTACCTCTTTCTCTAAAGTTATAAAATGTCTCTCTTGTTTTTATAATTTAACCTGTTTCAATATCATAAATCATAAGTTCATTTTTTTTCTGCTTTATGCAAAAAAGTCCATAAGAGGTGTCCAACAAAATTCCATGAATTTCTTTTTCCAATTGTTTGTCCGTCAGTCCCCAAAGACCTCGATTCTCAACTATATATTAATCTTTAAAATCCTCTGAATTGTGTACATATTTGAATTTAAAATTTTCTAGCTTTTTTACACATCCACCAAACATGATAAAGAGTCCCTTATTATACAAATTTGAACGACTTAATATATTCTAGACCCGTAATGGCGAACCTATGGCACATGTGCCAGAAGTGGCACGCAAAGCTATCTCTCCGGGCACTTGAGCCGTCACCCATTGCTCTTCCGGGTTCCGGTGCGCCAGCCAGCTGGTCTTCATGTGCGCACCAGGTGGCTGCTCTTCCGGTTTCCAGTGCACGCATGCACACTAGCCAGCTGGTCTTCTGCATGCGTGCACCGGAAACTTCCCGGCACGTGCATGCACAATGGCCAACTGGTCTTCGCGTGCATGCGTACTGGCCAACTGGTCTTCGCACGTGCATGCGTCCCAAAAACCGGAAGACCAGGTGGCCAGTGCACATGTGCATGCCGGAAACCAGAAGAGCAGCCGCCCAGTGTGTGCATGCGCATTGGGTGGCTGCTCTGGTTTCCGGCACACATATGCATGCACGCACGCACTCCATTTTGACACTCAGTGCCGAAAAAGTTCACCAGCACTCTTCTAGACAATTTCTCTGGGGACATACAGTATACCAACAATCCA